AATGCCTCTCTCGTTGTATTCCAATTAACACATACAAAAATAATCAGAACAGGAAATAAATTTAAATGGGCAGCGCAATGCTGGTTTTTTGGGAATGAGTGTGAATTGATTCATCTTCAGGACTAGGGTAATGGAACATAAGAATGGAACATAAGGGCAAATGTTTTCTCTACGATATTTGGTTTCTATAATTTGCAATAGTTCTCAGTTATCCTAATGTTTCTAAGCACCTTTGCTCAAATTCCATGAAGGTTGGACAAAGTTATGTTTTAATAATCCAATTATAACATACCTGAACCATCAGATAAAGAAAAAAGGGGTAAATTACTCTATTAAGGAAGTTAATTCCAAAAGATAAAAACTACTTGACATGTTTATTCTAGGCATAAACATTTTCTACTGCAGCCGTTCTCGACCTGTGGGTCACAACCCACAGGAACTGTATTAAAGGGTCACGGCATTAGGAAGGTTGAGAACCTCTGTTTTACTGTATTGTTATAATGTTCCAAATATCAAAGAAAAATAGAGAAAATGTTTAGGAGAGGTAAGTAATAGTCTTCATTTAAGTTCAGTATACTTCATTTAGGTTTAGCTTGAGACCTCTATGCGTTATAGAAGTCACAACTTTATTATCTTTCTCTCCTCTCCTAAAGTTGACAAATGAAACAAAGAATTACAATCTCTTTAATAATGGAATTTTCCTACTAAAGCATAAGATGAATATGAATATATACATAAACAAAGAGGAAAAAAAATCAACGGACTTACCAGAAATACGAAAAGAGTATCTCAAAGAAATCTCTCCCATGGCCAACTGACATTATATGTGAAAATCAAAACCATGAGATTTTAATGAAAGTGAATCTCCTTCACATGATTCTCCTACCAAGAAAAATAATAATTCTCATTGTTTATCAAGGCAAAGGTTATTGAGCAAGCGGAAGAAATTCCCCTGTTTTTGAAATTACAGGTTTATATCATATCTACTCCCAATAATATAAAAATGTAAAAAATAAGTGAATAAAAACCAGTAAGAATACAGAGCTAGATGATCCAGATTTTTGAATCTAAGTAGGTCTAAGGCAATGGTCCTAAATCAACTAGGACATAGTACCCAGTTCTTATCCTGGAATAACTTAGGTATGTCTTTTTAAAGCTATATATTGTGAGAAAAGGTAATATGGTCTAGGATTAGTTCTTAGGGAACGAAAAAGTTATTCCTATCCCTAGATTGAAATGAAATATATAGATAAAAGGATATATTTGAGCTTTAGCTTCATATCACCTTCATTTATCTACAGCATAGCCAAAATAATAGGCAAATTGCAGTAATTGCTATAAATGTCAAAAGCATTAGCTGGTCTAAGTGAAATTTTTTTAAGCAATAGTTCTTAGAGGTATCCTGTGATTCACAATTCTAGTGCTAAAATGGACATAGTTTTAAATATGGACATAGTTTATAAATGGACATAATTGCAGTAGTTTTGTTCAGCCTCCCTCTTACACAAGATTTCTAAAGCATCCTCTAGAAGATGACGTGGTCTCAGTTTCTTGCCTCTCTGGTGAGGCAGACTGCTAAACTGAATAGTCTTGCAGTTCCCTATAACTGTCTTCCATGAAATCAATTTGCTATTCTTATGCGATTACCTGTAACAGGGAATTGCATAAATCCAGGGAATCTTCCACGAATCCAATACTGCTTCTAGAACAAAATATTCTTTCCTGGCTCGGCACCTGTGGCTCAAGTGGCTAAGGCACCAGCCACATACACCTAAGGTGGCAGGTTTGAATCCAGCCCAGGCCCGCCAAACAACAATGATGGCTGTAACTGAAAAAAAAATAGCCAGGCATTGTGGCGGGCGCCTGTGGTCCCAGCAACTTGGGAGGTGGAGGCAGGAGACTCACTTCAGCCCAGGAGTTGGAGGTTACTGTGAGCTATGCCATGGCACTCTACCCAGGGGGACAGCTTGAGGCTCTGTCTCAAAAAAAAAAAGATATTCTTTCCTTCTTCTTTTGCCTTATAACATTAAGATTTTATTTTTTGAGACAGTGTCTCACTTTGTCACCCTCAGTAGAATGCTGTGGCATCATAGCTCACAGCAACCTCAACTCTTAGGCTCAAATGATCCTCTTGCCTCAGTTTTTCATTTTCAGTAGCTGGTCCACTCTTGCTGGACCAAGACTGGTCAGCAAGAGCTGACCACTCTTGCTTAGGCTGGTCTTAAACTCATGAACTCAAGCAATCCACTGGCCTCAGCCTCCCAGAGTGCTAGGATTACAGGAGTGAGCCATGGTGCCTGGCCTATAACCTTAAGATTAAAAACATGCATTCACGCATTGGAGAAAATCTCAAGAATTTTTTTTTAATTACTCAAAATCATGTAATTTAAATATGTAATTACATATTTAAATTTTCATTTTCAATTTTAATATGTAATTAAACATATTGATGTTTTCCTTTAGATTTAATTTACTTTTTTAAAATACATAATTAACATATTGATGTTTCCCTTTAGATTTAATTCACTTTTGTAAATTATGCTACATAGCTCTCCATCGGGATCTTTCTCATTCAATATTACATATAAGATTTTCCTGTTTTGTTAAAAAAATGTGCAAATACTTTACTTAATGGCTGAGTACTTTACCCTATGGATTTACTATATTTTCCTTAATCATTTCCTCATTTAGATTATTTTCATTGTAGGCCACTATAAATGATGCTGAATGAACTATCTAATGCATTATAACATCACACATTGTGTATTTTTAGTAAGTCTAGCTAAAAGGACAGATTCCAAGACATTATGAACCTAAGAGTTTTGAATAATGTTTCTCCAGAAAGCATGCTTTAAATTATACCCCAACAACATAAAACTGTACGGTATATTTTATTTGACAAGTATAATCATTCTTCAAAATCTTTGTCACTAGGTGAATTTTTTTCCCCATTTCTGTTTTAAAGGGACCAAATAAGTTTTGTTAATATGTATTTGTCTATAAATTGCTCCCTCAGGTCATTTGCCATTTTTTAAATTAGGGCATGTCATGGACAACAGTGATACTGAGTTGTATTCTGAAATTAATCGGTTAGAGTCTTATTTATTGCACTTACTTTTTTAATATTATGAATCCTAATTCTGCAGAAATTTCTAATGTTTTGTGTATGAATACTTGTGTTAAGCAGGGGTAGATTAGGAATGTCACAGTCAAGGATTAATTATCATAAGATGGAGAATTCAAATCTGCTTCCCATGACAAAATATCTCTAAGTTTAATTGATCATACAGAGAATTTCTGGATAAATGCAGTTTCCTATAACACTCATGGTTTCCAGGGTTCAAGTCAAGGATCCTAGAAATTTTAAACTTGTCACTACTGCAGGAAAATTCTGCCCTTTTTAGTAAGCAGATGGCTAGAAGATCAACTTCAATGTGACAAGTAACAAAACATGAGATTTAATTTAGATTGTATAGTAGTGACACCACAGGGAAATAGTCTAATCTTTTCTTCCAAGCAGCACACTTTTAAGAAAAGAAATCAGAATAAATATTTCTGATCCAAACACCAGTTTTCTTATATGTATATTAACATGCATTCTCTTATTTAATTCTCAAAGTAACCTTATGAGGCAGTTCAAGGTAACAGGTTTCTGTAAGGCAGGAACATTCATAATTTTCAAGGATACCACATTCTCCCCATAGGAAGCAATGGCCTTGTTGACACTAAATCAGCTCAGGGACCCAAGAAAGCTCAGTGTTTATTCATAGTCCACCAAGTGGAAACAAAGATTGTTAAAGATTTAACAATTTAACAAAGATTTAAAGATTGTTAAAGATTTCTACTTTAAATTATAAATTAATCAAATTTAAATTACTTTAAAGCATAAATTATCTCCTAAGATGGTAAGTGAATCCAAAGAATAAAATGAACAGTGGCTTAGCAAGTGGCTGTTTCATCAGCTCTGACAGGACCTCATTTGCGTGCAGAGTGACATTCATAACTGGCTCCTTCTTTAGGAGGGAAAGGCCAGCAAAAAGCTATACATTCCCTTTTTCTGAGTTGTTACCTAATTTCGTTATACGTTTGTATCCTTGATTAAGTAAGTTGGGGATTTATAGTGCAAAGTATGTGTGCCTCTTATCACAAATGAAGAACCCAAGTACCCGAGTCTTAGAAAGCTTTGGAATCATTACCAAAGTCACTGAACTGAAATGTGGTAGATCTGAGATACAGACCCAGCACCACCAGAACTCTGAACTTCTGTCCCATTAAATCTGGAAATGCTGGATGACCAAAGACCATTTCCATTTTTCTTCTCCCTAATCCCTGTCCGGGCAGGTGTGGTCATGTGACAACTCTGACCAAAGAGAATTAAATCTGCTACAAAATTCTTGGAAAACATGCTTTCTTGATAGGGACAATCCTTCTCCCTTCCTCTCCCTTTCTTTCTTCAGTGTGATGATGAGAACTAAAATAACCATTATGCAATCACTAGAAAATGGCCAAAAAAATCGCAATAACTTCAGTGCTGGAAGAGGTGAACCTAACATCTGCATATCACTGGATATCTCTCTTAGAATAACAAATTGAAGGGGGGGTTCTGGCTACTACTATGTGATAATCCCATGTAATGTCTTTTCCTGCGATTATTTTGCCTGACTGCTAGAATAGTCTCAATTTTCTTGTGTGTATATTTGTCTGAACTGCTTTATCCATCCTTTATTTTCTCTAGTTCTGGACAAATCTAATCTAGATGTGTGATCCATGTGGAAAACATAGCTGCATTTTATAATTGTTAACTTAATCTGAGAGGATGTTATCTTAACTTTAAGTCTAAGAAAATAGTAAGACTATTTCGATATAAGAAGAAACCAGTTGATGTCACATACTGAATATACAACAACTAACAATGTCTCATAAAAGAAATCAATGGCTTAGTTCTCCATGGGAAATTAGTTACCTATTCATTCTTTGCCTGGTCCAAACCCTTCAAAAACTCACAGGAAGGGGCAGGCTAAGGTTCTCAGCTTCATCTGGAAGTTGGTAACATCAAGGGAAATGATGTGATTTAAAGGGGCTACTAACCCCCATTGTCCATGACAGCATAGATGAGAAAAGTCAGAAATGTTTCTAAACAGAATACACATTTATTTATTAAGAATTTAATGCACTGATTTTATTGTCTCTCAGTGAGCCTTCGTTTTTGTGTCTGTTTCTTTATGCTTGAGTAAGAGAAAGATTTCTGCTTTAAATTGTAACAACTAAAAATATCCCCTAATACCTAATTTGCTAGAAGTTATGGTTAAGTTCACACAATATGGTGAATGGTTAGTCCATCCTGTGTATTGATCTAAATTCTCATTGGTGATGTAGGAGTTGAAGGAATGATATGTGCCAGAATGTGCCCCAAACTCCCCCCAAATCTCTTTGATAGAGAATCAACTTTCCACTTTGCCTAATAAATGGTCTCTTTGGTTGAGAAAATATAATTTATCAACAAGAATCTTCTTACATTGTTTTTGCTCCCCTCCTATCAAAGACCATATATCAAGGGTTACCTAAGAGTCTACTTTTTAAGGAAAAGAAGTGAACAGTAATGCTTTAAGCAAATACCAACTGGTGTTAAGCAAATGCCAACCAGTGAACTGGTTTTTCACGTGCTTCTTTCATCATCATGAACATTTCTCCTTTTTCATGCAGTGGCTCCAAAGGGACATATCTTGGCATCACTATGACTCTTACTGGCTTGGTTAGAAGAAAGTCCACAAAAGTGACCACAGGCTCTTGGTTTGAACTCGAGGAAGCTCTGGTTATTTTACCATCCTTTTTATTTTACCTAGACGAAAAGGAAGCCGAAGGAATAAATTTAAATTTTAAAATGCTTATTATATGTCTTTTCAGATCAAGGCAATCAGCCTTCCTCCCTAATTGCCTTAGGAGAAAGGTAATCATCAAGAGGTGGTTAGTTTTACTGAAGTCTCCCCACCTTAAATATTCAAGGTACAAGAACAAGCACATCTCTCCGCATTAGCTTTGCCATAGTCTAGGATCTAAGGAAGATTATGTGAAAGACTGTAGATAATGCCTGTTAATTGCCCAATTCCATCTGAAAGCAATACTTTTTCTACTCTCTCTCCTCCTGTGTGCACTGTGCCTGAAAGCAATATTTTTAATACAGTTCCTCAAGAGAAAACTTTCATATGATATGAGTGCTTTTATTACTTAATTTTCAAAAACAAAAGTACCATCTACACAAGTCTAGAAAAATATATTCTCTGCAATGCTTTTTGGTGCCAAGGAGGGAAACTAGATTTCAGCTGTCTACATTAACTGAGAATCAAAAAGCTTCACTACTTACAGGTTCTAAATAAAGCACATTCTTACAATTATCTCCAGTGTCTCTATAGTTTTCAAAACTTAAATATTGCAAAGGAAATTCTGATACAGAGATAAACTGTCCAGAGCTGATCAGCCAGCTAAAATTTAGACCCAAATATGACCCACAAGAATTACAGCTGCAGAAAAGTCTCTCTGTGGTTTAACATCAGGATCAGAGTGTAAAAAAGTTATCTGGTAGCTAACGTATCTCAGCCACGTTCAGAAATCCTAAGTCCACCACACATTAATCAATTTATCCCTTGAGCAGCTTCTCTTTTGGACCTGATCAAATCCCAGATGATATAAATAGCTTTTTCTCTCAAACATAAATTCATTTTTCACAGAAGTAGTTCAGTAACAAAATGCCACATAAGTTTTAGAATACTCTTTAAAAAGAGTGACATTGATTTTGAACCTTTATAAATTTGTAAAATGGCCAAACATACCTCAGACTTTGAAGACAATATAGTTTATGCCAAAAGCACCTTGTACGAGGGGATGAAACGTCACCCTCACCAGTGGTGCAGAGCTCATGAAAAAAAAAAAAAAACCCAACAAAACCAAGAACACACATTTTAGAGCAGTTTTCATATTTTAGGCAGAGCAATTAGTTTAAATCATGAGATAGGAATTTACTCTCTTCAGCAAAAAAAGAACACAGGGCTCTAGAACTCAAGTAACTCCCTCAAAGTCACAGACCGGTGGTGGGGGGGTGGTTGGGGTGGGGAGCCAGGATCTCAACCCCATGAATCAAGAACTTATCCAAGTCTACTGTGTTACGGTAAGTAATAAATTATTTTATCTTTAGAATGTTTCTCCTAGAAAAACAATCTACTTACTAAAAATATCTCATCAACAATGATCCATGAGAGAAAACTGTCAACCTAAAACTTCATTCTTTCCTTCTAGTCCATCTCCTATTGATTGAATTACTTGAGAACCTAAGTCACGGTTCTCAGACGGAAAGGAAAATTATAACTGTAATTCTAAGTGATTCAGAAGGCGGATTGAGAAGGTATAGAAAGAACCTGTGAGTTTCCTAAAATAAAATACACCCATATTAAGAATAATTCAGTATTATTTTGTAACATTGATTTGAATGACACCTACTCAGAAAGACGTCTGCTGATCACACTACACACAGCCATGAGGCATATCCATCCCACATACTTTTTCCCTTCCTACTTCATTTTTTTTTTACTACTTAGTTTATCTAAGATATCATATATTTTATCTTATTATGTGTCCTCTCCGTACTGAAATATAAGCTTGAAAGAGGCAGGGATTTGGGTTATTTTGTTCACTACTAGAGCCCCAGAACCAAGAAGGCTCAGTCTCCGGCCCATGGGAGGAACTCCTCAGATACTTGTAAGGAGGAAAGGAGAAAGAAGATATGTCTCAGAAAGAGAAAAGAATAAAAAGCATTTCGTTGGCATAGTAGGGAAAATGATGTTAAAATACCATTTGAAAAATGATCAAACATTTCTTTGTAGCCAAGTAGAGATAAATGCAACTCTTGAATGAATCGCTAGCTTTCACAGGGAGAAACAGCATTTACGGTGTGAAAGAATGTGATACCATGTACGCAAGGGGTAATATTTCCATTATAGTCTTGTAGTTCTACCGGCTATAATCTGAAGAGACAGAGCAATTTCACAAGGTTCAAGCTGGCAATTTCAAATCAAAGAAATGCTAGGCTAGAAAATTACAGGTGTTCCTCAGTTAATCTACAATGAAGTCAAGCATGGTTTTCAATAGGCAATAAGGATAAAGGCAAGCTTCCCCGGAAAATGTCTCTTTCTATATAAGAATCTGCTACAAAGATAGTTATAAATTAGAAAGGAAAAAGACTTTTTAAAAAACAAAACGGATAGAGCCACTGTACCACATGATAACATACATTGCAGCAGGATTCTGAGCCCAGAATGAATTTTGGAGAATTTCATGGAGAATGAATTTTTATAGTGTGCTAGAAATGAGATAAGACAAAGACAGTTATGGATAGATTTGAACACATTTAAGAAAACTGACATCAATATATAAATAAACACCAAGGCAAATGACAACATTAAGAATAAGAACTTATTAACCATCACCTCATTTGTTTTTTGTGGTAAGATATTTAAAATTTAATCTTAGTTATTTTGAAATACACCCTTCCATTGTGTACATTAGGTGAGATGTTAATCAGTTTTGATTGAAGCATTCCACACTGTAAGTCAAATCATCACATTCCCATAAATGTATACAGTTAGGATTTTAATTAAAATTGAACTTAAATGTATAGAGTTAGGATTTTAATTAAAAATTGAACTTAAAAATTTTAGAAAACGAATAAGAACTTAGAAGTTATTACAAAGGAAAAAATATCTTTGTACATAAACCAAGAGAATAAACCAATAAAAAGCACTCACATTTTAAAAATGAACAAAAGGTAATGGCAATTAATTTAAAAAAAAGATAGACATGGTGTCTATAGTCTCCACTGTTTGGGAGACTAGGAGGATCTCTTGAGTTCAAGGTCAGCCTAGGCAACGTGGTGAGAGACTGTCCTCCCATTAAACAAAGCCTTACCCATTGATGATCAAAAACATAATAATAAAACTCCCTATCAAGTTGACATCTTAGGTTCTGGGCACGGTAAAAGAGGATCCTATGCTAATCACTGCTAATGATGGTGAAAACGGAATTAGCCTTTCAGAAGAGTGATTTAGCAAAACTTTATACAAAAAAAGAGAGAAATACCAAAAATACATGCAGAAAAACTAGTTCTGAGTCCCTAGGCATTGTCTTCGTTTGGAAATATATAGAAGGTCTCTGCTCTCATAAAGCTATATTTTAGCCATGTAAACGGAGATGATTTCAGATAGAAACCACGGCTGCCGATGAGATAACTAGCACAACAAACAGTGACTGTGGGACACAAAGGACGATGTAACTGAGATGCTATCTTTAGGAGTGACCATTCCCTCATTCAGGAATTTAATTGGTGCCATCCGTGTGTCAGCCTCTGTTCTAGGCCCTGGAGTTCTTAAAATAAAAAGAGAAAATTCTAGCCCTTGTGAGGCTCACACTCAGTAAGGAAGATACAAACCATGATCGTGAAAACAAAACTCCTAATGTGTACAGTAAGTGCTCTAAGGAAAGGGGGCTGAGAATCAGGGAGGCAGGGGTGATGCGACTTGTATCAGTTTTATTAAGAAGTTAACATTCTAGTCCAGGGGCAGTGGCTCATGTCTATAATCTCAGCACTTTGGGAGGCAGGAGGGTAGCTTGAGGCCAGGAATTTGAGACTCTTGTCTCAAAAAAATTTTTCTGAAAAAAGTTAGCCAGATACGGTGGTACCTGCCTGTAGTCCCAAGTATTTCTGAGGCTGTGGCAGAAGGCTGGCTCAAACCCAGAAGTTTGAGGATGCAGTGAGCTCTGAGGATGCCACCGCATTTCAGCCTGGGTGGCACAGCAAGATAGCTGTCTTGAAAAAAAAGGAAAAAAAAGATAACATTCTAACTAAGAATCAAGGGAGGTGACAGATAAGGAAGGGAAGGAGCTCTTAATGCTCCTAAGACAATGGCTCTGAGGCGAGAATGAGAAATGTCAGAGAGCTGGTGGCGAGGGAGGCAAAACATCTTCTAGGAAATTTGAATTTTTTTCCAGATGCAAGAAAAAGCCCTGGAACAGTTTTTTGTTTGTTTGTTTTTGAGATAGAGTCTCACTATGTCACCCTCCATAGAGTGCTGTAGTGTCACAGCTCACAGCCACCTCAAACTCTTGGGCTTAAGCAATTGATTTTCTTGCCTCAGCCTCCCGAGTAGCTGGGACTACAGGAGCCCACCATAATGCCTGGCTACTTTTTGCTGTTGTTGCAGTTGTCATTGTCTAGCTGGCCCGGGCTGGTTCAAACCTGTCAAACTTGGTGTATGTGGCTGGTGCCGTAACCACTGTGCTATAGGCCCCAAACCTCTAGAACAGTTTTAATTAGTAGGGATTATTGGGGGGAATTGTGCCAAGTGGTTGGTTAATATTTTTTTCTGTGATCTTGACCTTATAAAGAAAGATTCTTTAAACAAATGTGTGTGCCTTCTCTTGCCTCAGCCTCCTGAGTAGCTGGGACTACAGGTGCCCGCCACAACACCCGGCTATTTTTTTGTTGCAGTTTGGCTGGGGCTGGGCTTGAACCCGCCACCCTCGGTATATGGGGCCCATGCCCTACTCACTGAGCCACAGGTGCTGCCCTTATGTGTGTGCCTTCTAACCCAAGGAATCAATCTCTCAGAATTTACCCACAGAAAACAATCTCACCCTCAAAGCAGTCTCCCCATCTCTGTATACTTCAGAATCAAGCACAAGCATGTCCTACACACTCTCCCAAGCACATACACCAGCTCTTTCTTTCCAGGTTTCTCCATTAACCAAATTATTTCTATCACTTTCCAACTTCCCACCTTACTGAGAGCAACAAAGCTTTCATTCCACCTATATGAACCAACAGGAGGGGGAGTTTTGCTTTGAGGATGCAGTGAGCTCTGAGGATGCCACCGCATTTCAGCCTGGGTGGCACAGCAGGATATCTGTCTTGAAAAAAAAGGAAAAAAAAAAAGGATAACATTCTAAGAATCAAGGGAGGTAACAAATAAGGAAGGTTTGCCTATGCATGGAATGAAAAATGAGGGTCACCATATATCTTTTCAATCTTACCACTTTGAAAGCCTTTAATGTACTTTGCTTTATTTTTTTTCATCATCTCCCTCCCCCATCCCTGCTCTTCTGTTTTTAGCCACCTTCCAGCATCCTGGTGTGGTTCTGGCACGCAAGACCCAGGCAGCAACAGATACTCAACAGTAAATTTTGCCACACTGTTTGGTGAATTTCTGAGCACCCAAGAACATTCCAGCTTTCCTCTGTAATCTAACGGATAGCTTGGAGTTGAAAAGAAGCCTCTGCGCTCGTCTAGCTCCACTTCAGAGTCACAGCCTGCAATTCCAAACATGTAGACACCAAAGGACTACACGAGTAGGGCAAAGAAAAATGAGGTTCTGAAATAAGCTTGAAAAACCTAAGCTTGCAAGAGAAAATACTTTATTACTATCAGTTACAAGTTCCTGGTTAAAACAAAAATCACTCTATTTAATGTCCCGTTTTCATGAAATAAGATTTTAAGGGTAGAATTTAAATCATTATTATTTCAAACTCATTTTAACAGAATTTTAACATTTTCTTAGACAATACACCGTGGATTGCAGTCTCCATAGGTTTTCCTTTCTTTCTTTCTTTGAGATGCAGCTGAAGACCTGTTCCTAAAAGCGTCACTAACTTAGCCGAGCATTTGTGTTGCTTGGACAAATGATTACATTCACAGAGCTCATGATTGAGGTCAAGAAAAGGGGACTTTGCTGAATAGCCTGGGATGTATCTCCCTTTAACTAGCTGAAGTCCACGGGCACTTCGGACATGTGTGGATACCTGCTGTGGTTCAGATGCCAGTAGCTGCCTGGCCCAGCAACTGTGCAATCAGGGGCTCCACTTTCTAATACCGTCAGCAGGCTTCACCCTGACTCTCCCTTTTCCCCTTCTATCTGTTCCTTTGACAAAACTTCCTAAGCAATTACAAGATAAAATATTCTATAATGCTTATTCATGTTTTGATGTGTGTATTAATGAGCACACATATTATGGTGCATTTCTCCTAGAGAAATTAATAGTCTAGCCGAGGAGGCAGGCACATAAACATTCTTTTATGAACGGTAGCCATGAAAAGTGGCACGTGGGACATGAAGCGCTCCGAGAATCTCTGACTGTACGCCATTGCCTCGTCCTCTGTTATTTCTTTGTGATTTCTCCTTTTTATCTAGCTGCCACAATCTAATCAGATGTTTACCAGGTCTGTTTGGATGCAGTAGAAAATTAAATGATCTCCCAGTCTATAATCTTCCCTTACCATGCCCTCCAATCCGCAAATGGTATATAAAATGAAAGAATTAAGTTCTTTTCCTGCCCAAAGTCACTAAAGCAGTACAGCTTGTAGGATCTTTCAGAGTCTGGCCCCAGTGTTTCTTTCCAATCTTCTCAATCTTTCTCCCTCGCTACATGAATCCTCTAAGTTACTTAGAAATGCAGCTTGGTACAAAATCCTTTAGAGCCATGAATTCCGAGCACAACATTGCTTTTATAAATGGGTGTAATAATTAAAAAAAAAAAAAGGTAATATACACTAATTCCCTAGTGTAAAAAGTAAGTGGTCGGAGCAGGTGGGGGTTACACATTGTCCTAATGTTTTATCTCATAAAATAATCACAGAACTAAAAACAATATTCTTTCAAGTATAAAGTTTTCAAAGTTCTCTGTCATACATGTATTACTAAACATATACAAAGGAAAAATATCTCCTTTACATTTGAAGGAAGTTAATTTTTTAGTAGCCTGAATGGGACCATTCAAAGAATACATTAGAAAACCATTATCTCATTAACCTTCAGCATGGATCAGACCCTCCCTGTTCTCAGTCCTTTACGCCTATTAACTAACTTAGGCAATCAATGAAATAATGCCTCTAACCCAGGGGTTCTCAACCTGTCGTGACCCACAGGAACTGTATTAAAGGGCCAAGGCATCAGGAAGGCTGAGAACCACTAACTTAACCAGACCATTCAAATTAGAAGTCTTTAGGATACTGGGCCCAAGTCTACTCTCCGTGTCAACCCCAACTAAATTTACGTTCACCTTAAATCTACACATCCCAGCTGACTTGTATGCAGCCACACAAGTGGCCCTGGGTTACTCCTCATTCCTGGAAGATTTGAGTGGTCATTTTGTCCAACCCTGTTGCTATCACAACTCTAACTGATTCCAGCAGCTGTACAGATGACATTCTAGCACTGAAGGGTCTCAGTTCCTCATGTTCTTATCCTCCACCTGACCTCAACCACTCACCCCAACAGTCAGCCCCTAGGTAGTGTTTTTCAACCTTTTTCATCTCCTGGCACACTTGAACTTATAGTTAAACTTCAGCAGCACACCTCAATTATGTTGATACAAAAAAAGAAAGAATCTACTGTGCTTTGAACTTCGTTTGAAAATAATTTAATTAATGATCTTCAAAATTTTTCACGGCATACCTAGGATCCTGCCATGGCACGCAGGTTGAAAATCATTACCTGAGGCTTGATCAACAGCAGCTACTTCAGGGCTCTTATGATCTCAGTTTCAAGCACTGTTCTCTGCAGTCACAACCTTCCATCGTTCCAGCTTCCCCAACACTTCTTCCACCCTTGGAGGCTTTTTCCTACCACCTTTTCTTTGTTCCAAACTCATCTTTCATCCTTACTTCACTCCTTAGCCCTCTGAAGTTCAGTGAGCCTTCATTTTAATCACTTCTTCCTACCTACTCTGAACTCCCTTATACTCTCAAAAACTTGGGAACACCCAGACTGATTAAATCTACCCTCTACCTGATCCAGGTCTACCTTAGTGTTTCCAGAGGAAAACATACAACTGAACTCAGTGGGAACTCTCAAAATTTACAATCGTTTGTCTCAGGGGGCCTTTATGCTGCCTGGCAATCCTACTGTATCTGCCTAGTCTAGTCACTATGTTGTTTTTCCTAGAGAAATACTTCTTACTTTCTCTATTTTCTCTTGAAAATCACTTTCTTGTCCAACCCCTTTGTTCATCTGGCAAGAAAACAGAAGCAATCAGAAGAGAAGTTTTATAAGCTCACATCTCCATGTATACCCATATAGCTGTGCACCTACTAGTGTCAGAATATTCTGCCTTTCATCCAGAAACTACAGACCAAGTGAATCTTGCTCCCATTTAAGACCAATCTCTCCTATTGGGCACTGGATCCCATCCCCTTTCTTCTACTCAAGGACATCACGCTACCAATTCAAACTTCTATGTCTTACATCTCTGCAATTTTCTTTCAACCCTTCCTAGTTGTCCACTGGGGTTATGTGTGTGGTGGAGCAGAAGTGGGTAACAAGGGGAAATCCTTGGTTGTTTGGAAACCAAGAGCGATAGTATCTTAGAACTTTCATCTTCCTACAAGGCTGGTACAGACTTCTAATTTCCTTGTTGCTATAGCTTTTGAGTAAAAATAAAAATCCTAATATCAAACAGACACTAGCAAATGTGGATAATTTAGAGAGGCACTGATGCTGGTCTTGGTCATCTCCTACCCAGAGTTTTAACCTAGCGAGGCCCCTGAATGTTGAAGGACCTCTGTTCAGGCAGGAGGCAACAGTTCAGAGTTTAAAACAATTCTATGGACTTCTCCCCAATATTCAGGCACTTGTTTACAATCACAAGATTTTCTTTTTTTTTTTTTTTTAACTTGAAACAGCTATACCTATAGGGTAGAAAATATCCCAAAATAATTTCAATGATAACTTTCCTCACATTCAGCATCAACTACCACCCAGAAGGAAAACAGAGTTTATAGTATCTTAAAAAGCATGAGACGATGCAGACATACGACTCTTTTCACTATATTCTTGCTGAATTTATGAATGTGATAATGTGAATGTTTATTACCTGGTCCAGATGCACTATCTGTGGAAGGTACGAGTGGTGGCAATTGTTGTTCTAAAGTTTTGCTTTTATTACTTGTCCGAAATGAAGTAGGACCTATATTGGGGGGAGAAGATGTTTAAAATAAACATGAAAGCCTGGGATCAAAATGTAGCCAGCACCAAAGCAGCATTCTTAAAAGAAAACACAAATCCAGCATTAAAGCAGCCTCAGGAAAAAAATCAGTTTTCTCCTAACTCTGCCCAAGGGAGAACTTACTCTTATGGAACCTTGCATTTTAATGTGTTTACAAACCAGATGAACTTCTACGCTAAGGTTTTCTCTTTTATAATGCACATTTGTACCGGATTCATCGCTCCCAGATCCACTCTAAAGAAAGAGGCGTTGTTTTCATAATATTTGAAAACAGTTTACCTTTGATTTTGGAGTAGATCCAGTCCAAGAAGACGGTCACCCGGGCAAATATTCCTGGCTTCCATGGCTGGACACAGCCAGCTCCCCAGCTGACGATGCCATAGACGGTAAAGGGACCATTTTCATGCCTACACACTAATGGACCTCCAGAGTCTCCCTGAAACAAGAAAACGTGTTCTAGAAAGCTGCTTTCATTGGAAGCTCTTGCCTTCAGTTTTTAGAAATGGAATGGCCAGCAGTTTATTTATAATGTGTTTAATTTGGATATTCATTCTTTGTCAATCTGTACACTTAAGATACTTACAGTATATTCACTTTTTCACAAAAGGGAACAAAATTCATGGACAATCTGGTCATAATTTGATTCCAGGTTTAAGTTAAAACTTAATTCACCTAATAATAATTACTAAGTCTTCCCAGCTCCATCAGAAGGACGCTTTCTTTAATTGATATCGCCAATGAGTAAAGCTGGACCATTAGGATCTGAAGCTATATTTTTTTTTAATGGAATTTAATTATAAAACTTCAGAGTGGCTCCAACTGAGCCAATTTAAAACATGGCCCACCATTAAGGTAACTGAGCTAGGGGCCCTGGGTCCTGCCTCTGGAAGTAGGGTTTTCTCTATTCTGATCAGCCAAAAAGTAGAATCATGACATATGCAGGGAAACTAGAAGAGACTGCTGGAGGTCGTGTGAATAAAACAAAATTAAAGGCTGTCTAGTAGCTATTAAAAGGCTAAATGCTAAAATGGTCTAATTTTATATTATAATTTTAGTCAGCTTACCCGAAGATTTTAAAGTTATAAAATTTTAGGGATTTTTGAGGACTTAACTACCTTACACTTAGAGAAATAAACAATCTGTCTCATTTTGCACTCATAGAAAGTAGCAGCAGCAGAGTCTGGGACCACGTCACCTGCCAGGGTTCAGTGCTCCTCCCCCCCCCCCCAGCAAATGTCAGTATTCACCAATGGAGCCAGCTCACACGGCTCTAATGTCTGGCTTACACAGTTATGGCACTCAAAGACACACGAACATTTAACTTATTATGTTCAGTGTCATAGGTATTTACTTTGGTCATGATTAGAGTGAACACATTTCTTTCTTTCTTTTCTTTCTTTCGACAGTTTCACTATGTTGCCCTCGGTAGAGTACCGTGGCGTCACAGCTCACGGCAACCTCCAACTCTTGGGCTTAGGTGATTCTCTTTCCTCAGCCTCCTGAGTAGCTGGGACTACAGGCACCGGCCACAATGCCTGCCTATTTTTTTGTTGCAGTTTGCAGTTGCTCGAACCCACCAGCCTCAGTGTATGTGGCCAGCGCCCTACTCACTGAGGTAGGGCGCCAAGCCAAGTGAATACATTTCAAAAGGCAAAAATACTACCCAACAGCATCCTGAAGTTCATAGAAGTTTCTCTCAATTTCCTTCAAAGTACTTGCTTTGTTTAAATTAACACACTATGAGCAGCAAGGGAGATTTTGAATAGTAATTATTTTTAATTTATATAAATTTAAAGAATAAAGTTCAGTGTTGAAATACAGTTATGTTTCATCACAATGAAATCTGCATTTTTAGGGTAACCATTCCTTGAGTAATTTGCATTGCACCCATAAGTAATTTCTCATCATTCACCCCTTCCTATTCTCCCTCTCCTCCCAATCTCCAACATCTATTATTCCACAGTCCATGTCCATGTGTCCACATTACTTAGCTCACACTTATAAGTGAGAACATGTACTTGATTTTGTATCTGAATTGTCTTTTTCTTTCTTTTTTTTTTTTTTTTTTTTTTTGAGACAGAGTCTCACTATGTCACCCTTGGTAGAGTGCTGTTGCGTCACAGCTGAGAGCAACCACAAATTCTTGGGCTCAAGCGATTCTTTTGCCTCAGCCTCCCAAGTAGTTGGGACTACAGATACCTGCTGGCTATTTTTTGGTTGCAATTGTCATTGTTGTTTAGCAGGCCTGGCCTGGGCTCAAACCCACCACCTTTGGTGTAGTGTATGTGGCCAGTGCCCTACTCACTGAGCTATGGTCGCCGAGCCCTGAGTTGTTGACTTGAGCCCTCTTAAAATAATGGCCTCTAGCTCCAACCATGTTGCTGCAAAAACATTCCATTCTTTTTCATGGCAGAATAGCATTCCACTGTCTATGCACATATATATATTCTCTTCACCCATCGCTGATGGACACTTAGGTTGATTCCGTATCTTTCCTGTTGTTAACAGTGCTGCAATTAGCACACTCATTCAAGAAGGGCTCAAAATATATATGTCACTTGTTGATCAGCACTGACATCTTACACATTTCACTGAGGGCCAGTGTGACAATCACTGCACTTCTTTATGGAGACCACTTCCATCCTGTGCTCCACTTGAGGGTCACACGGCACCGTACTCTTCTGTGTACCCTAGGAGACCTACTACAATACCTAGTACACAGTAGGTGCTCAGTAAATGCTCACTCAATTCATGAGGAAGTACTCTAAGTTAAATGTACCAAAAATGAGCCTTAAAAATAGGATTTTCTTTTTTAATGTTAATTTTCCAATTTTTCATCAAGTATTTTGAGCGCAAAGGGTGGACACAAATGTATTTAGAACCAAACTAAATCTTTTATTTGTCTTCTTATACAGTAAGTTGAGCTTACTTTACCTATTTGAGATATCTCTTTCACATGAAGAACTTCACAGAAGGGACCCTAAATTGGGATTCCAGTCCCTAGTCTTTGACATAGAACATTTTCCATGGGCCTAATTTTTTTCACATGAAGATTATACTTAAGACCCCCTTCTAGTCTGAAGATGGTTTTCACGTGTTTTATTTTAAATCATTCATTCTTTCACTACCAAGAATAGACAATACCTAACATTTCTGGCAAGTGGAAACATCCCATGATACAGGGTATTTGCCTAATTTCTTTTCTTGTCAGGACCTAGTCACGGGATCTAGCGCATGGTAAATATATATTCAACAAAAGGATATTTTTTGTTTAAGATGTTATTCAGCGCCTACTGTGAGCCAGGCATCCTGAACAAGACAGTGTATAGACAAACAAGATGGTGATGGCAGCTCTAAAGGAAACAGGGAATGGTAGAGGAGAAAGTAGGTAAATGTGTGTGCTTACACGTGAATATTTCAACATTTGAATTGATGCACAAAGGATGAGGAGGAGCCAATTTTCAAAAGCCTAGAGAACAGCATCATCTTTTTTTATTTTCCCCTTTCTTGTTTTTCAGGCTCAGGCAAGGTTTGAACTCATCACCCCTGGTGTGTGGGGCCAGCATGCTAACCTTTGAGCTACAGCAGCCAGCTTGGAGAATAGCATTTTATGCAGAAAATATATCTGAGCTAAGGCCCTAGGACAGACAAGACATAGCAAGTTGGAAGGTTAGAACTCAATCAATGTGGCTAAAACATGGTGAGCAAAGGAAGAGCAAAGTGTTCCACATATTGGAAAGCTACAGCAGCCTAGGATGCATCACCGTGAGGCTGGAGCTCTATCACTTTGTAGGTCAAAAGAACTTGGAATAAAAAAATCTAAATCCAGTGCACAAAGAACAGTATTCTACATCACACATGTGAACCCCCCATGTCTCCACACTCCAATAGTGTTATTTTTACCTCCCTGGATGAGAAATTACATTGCAATCCACTACCTCTTAGCACACGCAGGAGAATAAAAATCAATTACTTGAAGGAAAGAGTCCATTTTATCAAAGCAGGTTTCCAAAGTTGCCCTTTCAGTAATTCAGTGTTCTTCACAACAGTAAGCTAACTATAATATTGGAATCTCAATTCCTATTCTTCTTCCCATACGTTGGCTGTAAATTTGGTCTTTGCTGCAGCCAAAGAAAAGGCTGTAATACAGTTAAAATAATAAATACCAGCGGAGGTGAGGGTATTTGGGCCTCCTATGACATGGACCTCTCTAAACTCCTGGGGGGTTTTGTTTGTTTGTTTTTGTGTTTTTTTTTTTTTTTCTGCTCCCTTGGTACAAAACAAGACCATTCCATACTGTGAGATGTTGTCACATATGACAAAGACAACAGACCCATTTGTGATTTCCTTGAGTCAAAGCAGAAAGAAAAACCATCCCTCACATTCCTCAACAGACTGAGGAGGAGAAGCATTGAATTAGCTCCCAGGGTGTCTGACTTGTATAAGACAACATGTAAGGACTCCAGCAGGCAGTGGGTGCCCCCTTCCCCGTTCCTCCCATCTTCCAGGACCTGTTAGGGCTCTGGGCCTGAGGTCTCCTTCCCTCGCCCCTCTCACCCAGGAGGCAGCCCCAAAAGTCTGGGAAATACTCAGCGATAAACAGCCCCCTCTCATAGCACCCCCTCAAACTATGACTTTGGGGAAGTAGCATGCAAATGCCTCAGCTCCCTCACCCCTCAGAGGGATAAATACACGATGTAGATTTTGCATCTCTGCCTGGAGTCTCCCTGCAGGATTAAGCTTCAGACTCTCCACTGTGGTAGCTGTGTTCACAGCACACCAGACTGTCCGCCTTCCCTTCCCTCTACTA